GGGCGATTTAATTAAGGAAACAAAGTAATTATGGTATGCATGACGATGGGATGCACAGGAGAAGGAGAGTGATTTAGATTTGAACTGAGAAGAAAGACAAGGAGGTGAAGGAGGTCAAAAGGATTCATCTAAGTCCTCAACTATTCATCTAGATTCGATTGTTATGAATATAAATGGTATTTGTGGTTATTTTACATGTTTGTTTTACTTCTGACTTCAGCAAATTTGTTTCCTATATTAATGGAGATTTCATTTCTCTGAGTTTGCTAAATGAAATGGAAAAGTTCCGCATAATGTTTAACTAAAGAATTATTTTAATCCAATCCGCTTTTACTTTAGCTTTTACTTGTATTTACTGTTCCAAATATAAAACTTCACATTCACCTGCCATTACAAGAGATATTTTTTTATTTACCTGCACTTTCCATATGCTCCACATGGGGGCACAGTTTTACAGAAACGGGTGTTAAACTGATCTGAAGACTGAGGGATGCTTTCAGAAGTGGGATTTTGCCATACTTTCTTTTTATTTTGTATTTGTCCCTTGTCATTTAAATGTATTAATTAGTCTCAAACAGAAACACGGAAAGACAGATTATAATCTGTTTTTTGTTTTTTTTTTGCATTAAATTTTTTACACAAAAAACAAAATTCTATGCAATTCATTGAAACTATAAATGATAGACTAACAAAGTTGTTCAGAATTGTGAACTAAAAAGAAAAATAAAACTTGTTTTTATTGATTTATTTACATTTATAATTTTAACACAAACATATTGAATAAAACTTTCATGAACCATATTTATTACATTACATAAACTTTATTTAAAATGAATAAACCTTATTCATTTGAAATTACACACTCATCAGGTTTATGTATTAATGAATAGTAAAGTATACTTTACTATACATTAATACTTTGAGTGTATTTAATTCAAATACAAACAGTTTATTGTTTGATTTGATAAATATGTCATTCTTCAGCATTTCAAGTTTGAGTCTTTTTCACTCAGTATCAATCTCTACACTAATGAGTGTTTGTTAACACTTATGTGTGGTGTATTCAGTGATCAGAAAAAATGCTCATTACCTTAAACATATCTGTAAAAGTAAATGAGGATTTGTTATTTAGTAAATTTAAATAATTCTCAAACTTTGGGTGAAATATTTCTGTGATTGAAGAGTATGGGATTTATAGCTGGTGATAACTTAAGTTTCAAGAAAGGCTTCAATTAGTTTAAAACATTACTCTAAGCTTTGAAGATATGATGCTCCGTTTATCTCCTGTAATTAGACAGAATAGGACACAACTGCAAACTAAACCTCTCCTCCAAAGGCCCAGAGGAGCATAGAGTAGGAAGTAGCACCGCTTCAACATCGAAAACTAGACAAGATATTACTTAATTAAATGTAAAAATGTATTTGGTTTGAAGCGACTCAAGTGCAGAGTAATTGTTCGATCGTAATATCTGATTTAATATTTAGAAATTATAAAGATAGACTTTATGTAAAAGTTTCTATATTTAGGGACTAAAATTCAAACAAGAAGAAATAATTTTTCAACATCTGTTTTATTTCATCAAATTATAAAACCAATCTTTCCAGTTAGAGTTACTTATATTTAGAGCAGCAGGGTGAAGAACTCCCATTGAAAATTGAAAATATCTGCTGTTTACTGTATATTCACCTTCATGGAATAGCTCATGTTGCTTCCAGTGTACAGAGTAGCCAGAGATCTCACTCAAGTAGGAGTAATGATACTTAAAAAAATATTAAGAATACAATACAATAGAATACAATATACAATAAGAAACACAGGACAGATGAACTACTCCTTGGTCTGCATCTTTCAAAACGTTGCTCAAGTAAATGCAAATGGGTAAATTTAACTATTTACTATCCGCCTCTGTGGTGGTCTAAATTGAGATGCTGAGCGAAGGCAGAATTAATCAGCGAAGTATTCATAGTACAGAGTATCCCATTACAAGAGGCAAAAGAAAACTATTTAAAAAAATAAATAGCAAAAGCTATAAAAAAAAAAAAAAAGTCACATTTACAGTTTGACACTGCTCATAGAGTAGGCACAGAGAATATATAAGAAAGTGCTCTGCTCAGATGAGACCAATATCTTTCTGACTTACAGGTATAACAGAATGTAACCATTATGTTTTGGCAAAACTTTAATTAATTGTTTACTGATGATGACTGTTTAGTCTGAGCTTGGGTTGTTTTTAAAATGAGAATGGACTAAATTGAATCTGTAGACTTGCTAAAGTTGTCATGATCTGCCTTGATAGCTCATCTTAATTGCTCATTTCACTCAGCTGCCTAACTCTGCCTGGTTCCTGATCATTTCTCAACTTATCCATCTGCATCTGTTGCTTTATATTCTGCTTAGCCCAGCTATTGGGGCCAGATCATTGTTTGATGCTTGTTTGTTTCGTTAGATTTTAGTTATTCCAGAGTTCATGTTCCTGTTCTTGGAGGCGAGTCGTTTAGAGCCCAGGTCTACAACATGGGGTTGGCGACCCCTAGGGGGTCCACAGTGGTACTGGATGGGGGTCAAGAAAGTTTTGGTTGATTAGACTTTTTTATTTTTATTCCACCCTTCAGTTTTTTCTTCTAATTGAAAAGTCATTAAATACACATTCAAATGAATTAAACATACTGTATAAAACAGATAAATGGAGGCAGAAGATGTCTTTCAGTCATCAATGCACACATTCAGCGACACACAGGAGCTCTTTCAAACTTGGTACTGTTTCATTCACAACACCTGTCCCATCAACCAGGAATCAGAATCAGAAACACTTCAATAATTTAAAATCCTCCTTCTCACATATAAAGCCTTAAATGGCCAAGCTCCATCTTATATCAGAGATCTGATTGTTCCTTATGTTCCTAACAGAGCACTTCGCTCTCAATCTGCAGGTTTACTAGTGGTTGCTAGAATTTCTAAAAGTAGAATGGGAGGCAGATCTTTTAGTTATCAGGCTCCTCTCCTGTGGAACCAACTACCAATTTTAGTCCATGAGGCAGACACCCTGTCTAGTTCTAAGGCTAGGCATAAAACTTTCCTTTTTGATAAAGCTTATAGTTAGAGTGGCTCAGGTTATCCTGAGCTATCTCTGTAGTTATGCTGCTATAGGCTTAGACTTTTGGAGGACATAGGGACCCCCATTTCATCATTCTGCTTCATTCTCTCTCGGTTCTCCTATTCTGCAGAATCTGTTAGTTCAATCTCTAACGTTATGCTCTCTCTGCTTTTCCTCAGAGTAGCTTTGCCTCGTCTGTTCCTGTTAAGCTGTGACATCATCCTGGAGAGAAACATCAGCTGTGCTGCCGCCATCAACACCCTTGTTTATAGATGCTGAAGATCGGCCTGTTTTCCAGTGTGGTCCTGTTTCTCTGACCGTGACTGGCTGGATGTGCTCCCTTCGTCCTCTGGCATGGGAGCTCGCTCGGAGCTCGTCTGCCTGGCTGTGTGTTTCCTGGACGGGGCCGCCTTTTACAGCTGCTTTTTGTGTCTCTGCTTCTGTCTCCTTGAACCCCAGTCGGCCTCGGGAGATGGCCGCTCACACTGAGCTTGGTTCTGCCGGATCTCCCTTTTAACAGGTTCTTCCTGTTAAAAGGGAGTTTTTCCTCTCCACTGTTGCTACAAGCATGCTTAGTGTGAGGGACTGTATTTGAGTCAATGAGTCAATGCAATCAACTGGTTTTCCTTAGATAGAAAACTTTGAATCAATATGACTGTATGATCTGGTTGAACTGTAAAGTGCCTTGAGATTACTTGTGTTGTGAATTTGGTGCTATATAAATAAACTGAATTGAATTGAATTGAATAATCCCAGGGCGAAAATACTTTTGTTACATTACTCCATATGTAATACATTGACTATAGGACCAGTTTCATATAACACAATTTCATACAATATATTTATAATTAGGGGGTCCCATCTCGCCATCATTGCCTGGAAAACATTGAAGACCCCTGATTTAAAGGGTTTTTTAGTGTTTGTCTTGTCTCCTGATTGTGCCCTGGCTCCTAGGTGGGGTACAGTTTTAGGTCCCGCAAGCCTGGTTCCTAGGTGGAGACCAGTCTAAAAAGTTCTGCAGATATCCTGGTACCATGTCTTGTCTCTGTCCCTCAACTGCTGAGCCTGCCTGTCTGCATCTGTGGGTGCCTCATGGAACTCTGAACATCCCTTCACACTCATTGGATTCCTGGAACCCTGAATCTGTCTGTTCCTGTGTGGATCAGAACCCCTGACCGGGCTGCAGACTCCTGGATTCCAGAACTGTTCTGTCTGATCTGTTTTCCCTGACCTGGATCAGTCTCCTGGCTGCTCACTGGGGTTGCTGCACTGGGAACACTATGCTGCGTCGCAGCTCATTTGACCGTCCACCAATTAGATCAGGGGTGTCAAACTGGTTCCAGAAAGGGCCGTGTGGCTGCAGGTTTTCTTTTCAACCAATCAATAGCACACCAGACTCCATTCATCTCATCAAGTGAGTCCAATCTGAACATGATGACTTGATGAGATGACTGGGGTCTGGTGTGCCATTGCTTGGCACCTGCAGCCACTCGGCCCTTTCTGGAACCAGTTTGACACCCCTGAATTAGATCCTGCCTTCCTCGAAGAGGATGGACTGAACTGTTAAACCAGATTTTCAGTGATTGGGCAGCTATCCCCCCAAAAAGAGGGTAAATAAAAACTAATGACTGCTCTTAAAAGCATTTCTATAAAATTCTTACATCATATTACTTAAATTATGGCTTAATTATAATATAATATAATATAATATAATATAATATAATATAATATAATATAATATAATATAATATAATATAATATAATATAATATAATATAATAATATAGATTTGATTTAAAGCTGTTGAACAAAACTCTATTTCCCAGGATGCTTCACTGTTAAATGCACGTGTCAACGTTGCCACCGGACCGGACTGAACGTCACATTCCTGCATTCCCTTTTCCTTCAGCGTGAGACGTCGGAGTTGCCACAGGACTGCTAATCTCCTTCCTCTCTCCTTTTCTCTTGGACAAACACTCATGACACGGTGGATTTGATTTCGCAGTGTGATCCGGGGTTCTCCAAGGACCAGAATCTCCTTTTGGTAAGGATTAACCAACAGCTGAAAACGGTTTTCAGTTGGAGTTCTTAAAAAAAGAAAAACCGCTGAAACCAGACAACACTTTGATAGTGGGAGCAGCCAGGACAGAATGATGTGTCTGTGAGCAGACTGGTTATCATTTTACAGCCACTGGCGCAACCTGTTGAAGTGTTAATGTTTACACAGAGCATTTTGAAATTCGTATTCGCGGTCTGTTGTTATTGTTGTGTGATGCTAACGTTAGCCAGCTGGTTAGCTGCAAAGCTTGCGTCACCATTGTTACCGGCGGACAGAGACGGACGGACCGGGGCGTGGAGGCGGATTCAGATGCAGATGCAGATCTGTTACTTTATCATCGCCTTTGTGTTGCAGGGGTTTGTAACCATAACATCGTCATTTCAATATGCCCCACTCCAGCATGCAGTACTGCTATTATTCTAAATGGGTGTGGTTAGGTGGTATAAACATGTAAACTCACAATCATTGTAGTATTTCAGTTTATCTGCATTGAGCTAGCTTCATATCAGTCTCAGCTGATGACCACTCACAACAAAGAGAAGATCACTGCTCTGCTGCAGCTGTTCAAAGACCACAAGTGGATCAATAGTATCTGTAACACAGCAGTTTAAAAAAAAAGAAACAAACCGGATGTAATGGTTATATTACTGGTTATTACATGTTATTAACTTAACCTCCAATATTTAAAGTCTCTATATGATAATGTTGACAATCCTGTCATTACTTAACTGTTACATAACCTCTGAAGCATGTGCACACAGGTCCTGATTGTTACTTTAAAGCTGAGTCCAGTTTTCTTCTAACATTCCTAGCGTTCCTGTTTTCAATGCATCAGATTTACTTTGGTGAAATACAAGAATGTTGGCAGACTTTTTTTTTTTCTAAAAGAGACTGCATTAGGATTGGGAATTGATAAGATTTTCACGATTCCGACTCCCTTATCGATCCTGTGAAAATATTTGATTCCTTATCAATTCTCGTCACAGTCTTAATCTAATGGAGAATTTGTTTAATGAAAAAGCATTACTGTAAAATTTCAAGAAATAAGCTCATCTCCCCCTGATTTAAATAAAGGAGCGTAACCTTGCTCTCGCTCCATGAACTGTGGAGCAATTTCGTAGCATATTTCGTTAGATCCATTGCAATAACTAGAATCAAGTACGAATTCCACCTACCAGTAGTTCTAATTAAACATGCTTTGAAGGGCTGGATTTACCAGAAAGGCACACTCCCTTAATAACCCCAAAGAGAGGTAGGAAATTGGTTTATTTCCAGAAATGGCATATGATTTACTAGGAATCACATTAAGCACAGCCCGTGATATAAAACTAGCTACTTACCACCAGAGTTGCCTTCCATGCTGGTCGTAACTTTAGCTTCTGTCTGGAAGCATCAAAAGCACGACATTCGTTAAAATGTATGCCATGTTGTGTGCGCAGGTGTTTCTGCATGTTGGATGTATTTCCTCCCGTGGATGTAATACCACTTTGCAATGATTGCAAAGCACCTTGTTGCCATCTTTCTCTTTCTTTAATGAAGCCAAACATTCGATCGCTTTACCAGATGGGACGCCATTTATTTATTTTTTGCTTTTCTAGACTTACGCCTGGTCACATCGTACTTGCTTACTGAATGCCGTGTGCATAACTTGCGTAGAAAACATGCTGCCCAGCGCTAGGCTCTGATGCTGCCTGGAAATGTTAAGAGAACCGTTAAGCGAGCTGCCAGACAGTGCCATGGAATTGGAACAAATCCGGTTTTCGATTCTCATCCATAGACAACATGTCTCTAAAGAGAAGGCTAGGGTTGTTTGATATATCCACGTGAATAAAAGTTTATTTGTAGGGTATTAAAACCACACCAAATAACAGAATACATTGACCCATATCAATTAAAGAGAGCGAAGTGCTCTGTTAGGGACATAAGGAACAATCAGATCTCTGATATAAGATGGAGCTTGGCCATTTTAGGCTTTATATGTGAGAAGGAGGCTTTTAAATTCTATTCTCGATTTAACAGGAAGCCAATGAAGAGAAGCTAGGATATTAATTTTCATCAGAACTCTGGCTGCATTAAAAATAACTTTTTGATGCAATTGATTTATGTTAAAAATGATATGTCCTCGTACTGACGCAGACTTGTAAATGTAATCACAGTTGTATCAGCAAACTGTGTGATATTTGGAAATATCACAACCTCATCCTTTTTATCAATGCTATACTGCAGGCATCCCCAAACTCGGTCCTCGAGGGCCGCTGTCCTGCAGGTTTTAGAGGTTTCCTTGCTCCAGCACAGCTGATTTTAATTGAAAGCTAATTAACAGGCTTTTGCTTTACTGCAATCATTATAATCAGCTGTTTTAAAGCAGGGAAACCTCTAAAACCTGCAGGACAGCGGCCCTCGAGGACCGAGTTTGGGGATGCCTGCTATACTGTATTCCCAAAACATGGGCGACTTACACCCCTACTTTTAAGCTGTGGTGCCTGCCAAGGACTGCATCAGTTTCATCTTTCCCATCTAATAATTTTGTCAATGTATGCTTGAAGGAATTTAGATATAAAGCTTGCTTGGCCCTGACTGCACTCTAAAAGATAGCGTCATGCTTTGTATTAAGGTCACAATGAACTATGGAGTGTGCTGCCGTTACGGTGTAAAGATTCACTGTTATTATGATTATGATCAATACTAAGTTATTTTAAAATGAAGTCACTACAAACAGAGATGGGCAAAGCAATAGAAAGGTGGGGAAAAAACCCAGGAAAGCTATATTATTTTGCTATTGTTAAGGCCCATTTATAGTTCTGATGCTTAGCCTCTGCAGCCGTTCACTCTGTCTCTGTGTGTGACCACGCCCCCCGAGCAGAGGCTCTGTAACCGTCGAAGCACACCTAAAAAAAGCCTGACTACATGTCGGAGGGACGCAAACCCACGCAGACCTCAAGCAGAAATGCGCAGACAAAAGGCAGCTGTGATTGGTCCTTGATATGCTTTTCCGGCTGTCTATGTAGTCGTCCATCTCGATTCGGTGCCGGGGCGCGCCATTTTTAAATTAATACCAACAATGGATAACCATGGCGAAAGGTTGATCTAGGATGTTCAGAAGTACTACCACTTGTACAATGCCTCAGACATGTTTTGAAAAATTAACACTCCCGCCACCGCCACCGAAGAAGTTCTCGTGACCATCCACCAAAGTTCTCGCAAATTCTCCAATAGGCTGCCTCTGGTGCTTTGGCGGGAAACTGTGCATCCCTTGAAATTCCAGACCGACATTGCTGAAGCATACCAGCAAAACTGGTTCACGACCAGACGCAAGCGACATTTGATGTGTGCGGTTGCAGAAGTATAATCCGCCCTTTAGTCTGTTTTATTCTGTTAAGGTCTCAGCCTCAGTTTGTAATTGAAAAACTTGGGTTTGGAGATATTAGTAGCCTATATCAATAAGTAAACTTAAGGTACACACTACAGAGCCAAGTGATTAACCTTCTAGATCTGATGAATGATGCAGTGAAATGAAACATCTCTGTATAGCTCTATAAAATATTTCTATAAAAGTTTATTTTGCATAATGGAACTTAGGAGTATCATATACACTTTACCGGTAATTGTTCAGTTAGGATGTCAGTGTTACAGTAAAATGTTTTTCTCTCCATGTTTTTTTAGCCTTAGCGCATGTCCGACTGGGATTGATGCTGCTGCTGTTACACTGCTGCAAACATATGAGCATGACCAGCAAATTAGCTTCAAACAGGCCTACGGTGCAACGTGTATTGCATGGATGCTGTGTTTTAAAGGATGTGGAGGCTGAACAAACTCAGCTTTATGAGGAGGAGAGAGTGGGAGCAGTCAGCAGAAAACAGAAGCACCCTGAGTCACAGAGCGTCGCAGTGATCCATTCTTGTTTCAGTGGGAGCTGCTGCTCATTAGCTTGCTGTTGCTGCATGGACGAGTGTGTGGGAAAAGTGAAATGAGTAGTGATTACATGTTTGATGATTCAGGAAAACAAAACGCCGGCTCAAAGGTGAGGAATCAGAGCAGTTTAAAATAAAAAAAAAAAAAATTAAATTGCTGGTCTACAACAAAATGAAAGATAATTTACTGTGTTATTAATGAATTTTCTGTGGCTTATTGTTTGCTAGCATGCTGCTGTTTGTTTTGCCATCATCTCAGATGTTTGGGTCTAAGAAGTAATGGCGACATCCTCTCTGGAAAATAACCTGCATTGCCTCTTTGTTCCTGTTGGAATATTGGGAATTATTCCATGACTGTACGTAGATACGGACAACATGGCTTTGTGGGGCTACAGCCTGAATGGTGCCACAGTTCTGCACATGCCCAATCCTCTGCTATTAGGTCACAACAGAGACATAGAGAAACAATGGGGTTATTGTTATAATGGTGCACATAAGTTAACACCCCCCCCTGACCCCACGTGTTGCGTTTAAAGGTTATTTGCTGCAGGTGGGTTTTCATCTGGTCTCCCATGTGTTTCCTACCAGTAAATATCTACTGAGAAAATATGTGATGCAGGTTCTCTGCTGTACCGACTTAATGTATATTCAACAGTTACAAGCAGACAGACAGACAGAGAGTTTTAGCACAGGTTCTGTGACATGAAAAAATATTTACCTCCCCTTGTTGTAGCTTTAAACTCTAATTATGGCTTCAAACTCGAAAGCATTTGAGGAAAGAGGAGTCACCAATGACTTATATAATTAAAAGTTTCTCCAAATCCATAAAAAAAATTTATGTATTTAATTCATGTTCTAAATAGATGAACATCTATCGTTGGTTTTTATTTGTCAGTTTAAGGAGATTCTACAATATATTGTTGCTCTAATAGGTCTCTCTATGAAAACCTTAAGCCCCATGAGTAGTTTTCTTAGACGAATTAGACCAGATTAGACGAATTATCAGCTCCGCCTGTATAGGCTGAAATCATTGACTCGGTCTCCTACTGGGAAGGCCGATTCTACATTTCCTCT